CACCGGCTCGATTCCGGTCGAGGGGAGTTTGATTTTTTGACTATTTTGCCTTCTCACTTTTCCAATCATTACTTTTTACATTACTATTATCATTTCTGGTTTTTCTCTTCTGCAAGAATTATTCTTTCTTTCTGCACCTTCCTAATTCTTTTTTTGGTATGCTGCACTGGTAGTGTTGGTATGAACGTTCTCGTTGATATTGTTTTGCTACAGCTATGATTCCTTGCACAAAATATGATATTTTGTGCATCTTTACAACATGTGATCTTCCGACAACATCTGCATGCAACATGACAAATCTCGCTTTTGCATCACCACACGAAACAATACGCCACGCTCCGGTCATTACATACCGCAGAATTCCGGGGGATATATCTTCAGGTTCTCAGGGTTAAACGTGCAAAAGTACCTCCAAATTGCCTTAGGGATCGGGTTATGCCAGGGAAATCCAGTCAACCCTGAAGATATATCCCCCGGAATTCTGCGGTAACAATGGCTATCACTATAATCCATAACAACTACGAGGTAAATCACGCCGGATGGATCCTCGTCTTCAATATCTCCTTCAAGTCGTAAACACTCAGGCTCAGCTCATCCGGGCCGCCTTCATCAAACGTCGCGCCACCCAACACCATCAGATGCTCGGGATGCTTTCTGAAGATATGCAAAGCCCGGCTGTAAGCAGCAGGCTGCTCAATGGCATGCATCTCCCATTTGTCCGGGTCGCCACCAAACCGATTGGTATAGATCTCGCTCCGATCCGCGTCCGACACCACGATCGTGCCGTTTGGCCCGCCAGCAGGAGACCAAACCACATACGGCGAGGCATTCGGCGCCAGCTTTCCGTCGATGACAATCGGGATTCCAGGAGCCGAGTCAAACTTTGTCGGTTCGTCCGCGATGCGGTAGTACACCGGGTAGTTAACCCCGTACGAGCTCGAGTTGCCAACAGGGAACTCGTGCACCAAAATCCACTTGTCGATAGTCTCAATCTTGGCCACGACCGTCATCCCGGGGCGAGCGAGATACTCGTCATACCGGACGTCGTTGACGAGCGGACCCCAGTTGCGGAGATCCTTGGACCGCTGATGAGCAAGTTTCTGGCCGTGCTTGGGGTCACGCTGGTCCGAGTAGTAGACAATCAGCTCGTCGTCGTACTCAAGCAGGAAAGGTTCCCAGATAGGCGTGGCGCCGTTGGTCGTGTTGGGACGCCCGCCCTCGGCCACGTGGCTGACGAACTGCCAGGTGCGCGCCCGGTCGGTGCTGGCGTACAGGTCGATGCGCGTGCCGTTCTCGCTCCAGCTGTTGCCGGAGAAGAGGATGGTACCCGGCTTGAACCCGCCGAGCGGCTTTGAGAGTTCAAGCAGAGCTGGCTGCGCGCTCATGCCCCAGCCGTTGACCTGGTCGGTGATGTTGGAGATCCATTTCCAGTGGACGCCGCCGTCTTTGCTCTCGAAGACGGGGAAGGAGGAGTTGCGGTTGTTCAGGAAGTCGCCGCCAATGACGCTGGAGGTGACGAGCAGAGTGCCGTCCCTGAGCTCGACGTGGCGCGGGTAGGAGGCGCGTTTGCCGGCGGGAGGGTCGTAGATGATGCGGCGCGGGAAGGTGCTGAAGGGCGGCGGGTCGGGTTTGCACTTGCTTCCTGCCAGAGCGGCACCGGCGAATGACAGGAGAAAAAGGGTTGGGAGTTTCATGTTAACCATGGTGGAGCTCAGATGGTAAGGTAGGCATGAGGTTTGAGTGGCATCGACTGTTCATCATCGTTACCTAGGCCTCTTTATGACTTCACTTTCCTCCGTTCCAGATCGGACCGAGTCAACCCCAACCATCACCGACTCCAAAGAACAACACTCCCGTCGGGAACTTCAAGCTCGTGTTCGACTAAAACCGGTCAGTCAACACTGACAGCCGCACGAATAGGGCTCCCGAGAGGAGAAACTATTGACAACTTCCCCGCACACGGATCGAGTCTTTCTTGCGATGGTACCTGGCAGTTAATATGGCTGACTCCGCGATGATCATCGTGGCGACGTTCGCACCGTCGGGCCGGAGTTGAGGTGTTCTGTCAGGGTCTTGGCGCGCTCATCATGCCGTCTTATTACCATCAACCAGGTATAAGAGGTGCGCATCAGATCTGGTTTTGCTAATATACATAACCCGGATGTAACCCAGCTACTGCATCACTTTATCCAGATGCGATGCGCCCCAATCGGCCAGCAACGTCCCTTCGTCTACTAGTTCCAAGGTGAGGGGTTCGCCGTTGAACCCAAACTTCAGATCTTCGAATTCCATGGTAACAGGAATGTTCGCGTAGAGCTAAGAGCGCAAAGTCGGCATCGCGACCCGGCAGATGACGGTGTCGTCTCAATGACATGTGAGGAAACGGTCAATACTTAAGACTCCATGCTGGCGTATCGTAGGTATGCATGGGAATAGATGTCAATTACCAAGAATATCAAAGACAGCGGCAGTTGATTAAACATGAAGTCGCCTTGGGCTTCATACTGCCTGCTCAGTTGCAGTTCTGCACTGGTCTCTGCCATCGACCTCCCCTTCCAAACATATCCCGACTGTACCAAGGGACCTCTCGCCAGTGTCAAGGTCTGCGATGCTTCCCTATCACCACGACAACGCGCAGCCGCCCTCGTGGCGGCCATGACGACCGAGGAAAAGCTTCAAAACCTCGTCAGCAAGTCCAAAGGAGCACCCCGAATTGGCCTCCCGGCCTACAACTGGTGGAGCGAGGCTCTCCATGGGGTGGCATATGCCCCAGGAACGCAATTCAGGAGTGGCCCCGGCACCTTCAACTCGTCTACCTCATTTCCCATGCCCCTTCTCATGGCAGCAACATTCGACGATGAACTCATCGAAAAAGTGGGCGAGGTAATTGGCATCGAGGGTCGAGCCTTTGGAAACGCCGGGTTTTCTGGTTTCGACTACTGGACCCCCAATGTCAACCCCTTCAAAGACCCACGCTGGGGTCGTGGCTCAGAGACGCCCGGCGAGGATATTCTGCGCATCAAACGTTACGCTGCATCCATGATCAAAGGACTTGAAGGCCCTGCGCGAGAACGCAGAATCGTGGCTACCTGCAAGCACTACGCCGCCAACGACTTTGAGGACTGGAACGGCTCGACACGGCATGACTTCAATGCGAAGGTCACGCTGCAGGATCTGGCCGAGTACTACTTGTCGCCGTTCCAACAATGCGCACGCGACTCCAAGGTTGGCTCCATCATGTGTTCTTACAACGCTGTCAATGGGGTGCCAGCTTGCGCAAATGAGTACCTGATGCAAACGGTTCTCCGCGAGCACTGGAACTGGACTGCGCCCGGCAACTACATTACCAGTGATTGCGAGGCCGTCTTGGACATCTCAGCAAATCATCACTACGCCAAAACAAACGCAGAGGGTACAGCTTTGGCCTTTGAGGCCGGCATAGACAGCAGCTGCGAGTACGAGGGCTCTTCGGACATTCCCGGCGCCTGGAATCAGGGTCTGTTGAAGATATCGACGGTTGACAGAGCTCTGAAGCGGCTTTATGAGGGTCTCGTGCAAGTAGGCTACTTTGACGGCAACCGTTCAGAATATGCATCACTCGGCTGGAAGGACGTCAACCTTCCAAAGTCACAGGAGGTGGCGCTTCAGGCTGCTGCAGAGGGCATTGTCCTGTTGAAGCACGACAAGACTCTCCCTCTGGGTCCTAAGCCCGGCCCCAAGTCGAAACTGGCCATGATTGGGTTCTGGGCCAACGACCCAAAGACATTGTCAGGCGGCTATTCCGGAACACCGTACTTTGAACACTCACCCGTTTACGCAGCTAAAGCGATGGGCTTTACTGTCACTACAGCGGGCGGACCGGTCCTTCAAAACAGCACAGCCAAAGACACGTGGACCCAGGCCGCTCTAGCAGCAGCGAAAGATGCCAACTACATCTTGTATTTCGGCGGCCAGGACACCTCAGCAGCGGGCGAGACAAAGGACAGGATGACCATTGACTGGCCCGAAGCCCAACTCCAGCTCATCACGACCCTGAGCAAACTGGGCAAACCACTCGTCGTGGTGCAAATGGGTGACCAACTGGACAACACACCACTCCTTGCTTCGAAATCAGTCAACTCCATTCTCTGGGCCAACTGGCCGGGTCAAGACGGCGGAACAGCAGTCATGCAAATCCTCACGGGCCTCAAGAGTCCCGCTGGACGTTTGCCCGTGACGCAGTACCCTGCCAACTACACCGCCGCGGTCCCCATGACAGACATGAGCCTCCGGCCTACCGACAAGCTACCAGGGCGGACATACAGGTGGTATCCCACGGCGGTCCAGCCGTTTGGTTTCGGGCTGCACTACACCACGTTCAAAACCAAGGTTGCGTCCTTGCCGCGTTTGAACATCAAGGACCTTCTTGCACGCTGCGATAATGAGTATCCTGACACCTGTGCCCTTCCACCGTTAAAAGTGGAAGTCCACAACACGGGGAAGCGGTCGTCGGACTATGTGGTACTGGCGTTTTTGGCGGGAGACGTGGGCCCTAAACCCTACCCTATCAAGACGCTGGTGTCATACACGCGGCTGCGTAATCTCTCTCCGGGGAAGAAGACGGCGGCAAAGCTGGAGTGGACACTGGGGGATATTGCCCGGTATGATGAGCAAGGGAATACGGTCTTGTATCCGGGGACGTATACCGTTACTGTGGATGAGCCGGTGAAAGCGAGTGCGAAGTTTGTGGTTGAGGGCAAGGCGCCGGTGGTTTTGGATCGGTGGCCTTCTCCGAGTGGTTAAATATTGTAGGATCTTTGTAACAGGCCATGGACTGCGGACCTTGATTTGCTCCTAACATCCAGTGTCGGAGCCGGCCTATATTGCTTCCCATCTTGTACATGATCAAAACTCAAGTCAGATAGTCGTGTATATATACTCTTGTCATTCGACACCATGTCTATACTTTCGTTCTTATGCCCATATTGAGGGCCCAAACAACATCTACAACACAACCAGATGGACCGGTAGCTCAGAGGTAGAGCGTTCGGCTGCAGTCCGAACGGTCACGCGTTCAATTCGCGTTCGGTCCTCTAAATTTTTGTCCTGTTTACACGTTCAATTCATGTTCTGTCCCACAGAGTTTTCAGGATTTTTTTTTTATTCTTTTTATTATTATTATTTTGATTATTATCATTATTAATTTTTTTTTTTTGCTTTCCGTTTTTGCTCATTTCTGCCACTCCAAGATGCCCTCTTTGTCCCTGGATGTGAGCGTTATTTTTGTGGTAATAGTCCTTTTTTCACTATAACCGCGCGAAACCCGAACTTCCTTCTGCCATCACCGCTAGGTATTTTCACTAGCTGTTCGCGAACGAAATCTTCCTTAAGATCCCAACCATTATAAGCCAGCAGATTCACCGTTCCGGAGGGCACGCCCGTCAACACACCAGCGGTAGCAATGGACTGGATATACGCGCACAAGCCCTGCGCAGTCAATGAACTCGGCAGCCCGAGCAGATACGCCCCGAGACCGGCAATGTGCGCAGCGGCGTACGTTGTGCCAGAGACGACGACCTAGTTTTCACGTCAACCCTCAACTTCGTACCGAAACATGAACTCCCAAGATCAAACATTCAACTCACCGTAGAAGTACCCCCAAAGGTAGTTCTGATATTCGTCCCCGGCGCCCAAATAACCAGCCCCGCTCCATAATTCGAATATGAAGCCACCGCATCTCCTCACGTAGTAGCGCCCGCCGTACAAGCGTTCGCCGCACTAGCCGGTGAGGAGTTCCCGACGTTAGTCCCCTCGCTGCCGGCAGCGACCGCCGTGAAGACACCCCCATTGGTCACCAGGTTGTTGACCGCGGCGTTGACGGCTGAGGAGTAAGAGCCGCTGGCGGCGATTACGGCGGAAGAACCGAGGTTACACCCCGGACGAGTGGTTTTGTCGGTGACGATCCAGTTCAGGGCGGAGATTAGGGCTGAGCTATCATCTTGATGTCAGCTTTTTTTATGGTACATGGCGGGGTGTGATTGATTCTGTGTCACATGTCGTAGGTAAAGAAGAGGAACGAAGTCAAGCAGGAATAGGAAGTACCTACGCGGTTCCGGAGCCACTTGCATCAAAGATCTTAACGGCTATCAGCTTGGTTAGTTTTGTTACACCGAGGGTGGTACCGCCGACTATGGCTGCCATGGAGGTCCCGTGACCGTTGCCGTCGGTGGTGCTGCCATCGTTGGCGAAGTTGGCGCCGAAGACTGCGCGGCCGGAGAATTCCTGCTCATATTTTGTCAGTAGAGGAGCTGAGTTGGTTGGAAGTAGGTAAACTTACAGCAAGGGTAGTAATGATGCCCGTATCAACAATATATGAACAAGTACCGCTACCGGCGGTGCTGTCATATTTGTATGTTGTGGAACCGGGCGGGTGGCTAGACAGCCGGGCAAGGTTCCAGGGTGCGTTCAACTGGGAGACAATGGCGCGAGGAGCGGTGTCGGTCTTGGTTTGGTATGTGGTGTTGAAGCCGTCTGCGATGGTGATGATGGCGTCTTCTTCAACGTACTCAACCTGTTAGACGGACGGACATGCGTCAGTTTGGTCTTAACAACATATCATTATGGATTCCTTGTGATGGGAACATGGCACTAACCTCTGGTAGTTTCCTAATCTCCTCAAGAGAAGCGGCACTGAAAGCACTCGCGAAGCCCTTGAACGCAATCTTGTAGACGTGGCTTGCTTTGTGCTTGCCAGCGGCTTTGGTCAGGGTGGAATCATCAGCATAGCCATCTCTGAACTTGACAATGTATTTGCCGAGCAGGGCCCTTCCACCGTGAGCTTGGATGAGAGGAGCTCGCTTTTCTAGACTCTGAGGTTCGTGGGATGGAGCCGCAAAAGCCGCTGGAAGCAAGGCGAAGAGGAAGGCAGTTTGAAACAACATGTTCTCACTTTTTATCTCTCACAGTTAACGTTGACGTCTTACACGACTACACTATGAGCAACTGGACGAGAGGGATACTTATCTTCAAAGTATTGACAGGCCTCGTGAGTCTTTCATGCCCAGACTACATTTACATGCTGAGGGGGCCGTGGGGGTTGTGATAAAGCGCCTACTTCCTACAGCATGATACGATGGCAATTGGGATAGCTGGGTAATTTGTAGTGCTGTTGATGTTGTTCACCTTCCATCTTTGGTTGAGCAGCCACACCCAAGAGTCGTATGTGGCGCTCTGGATGCCTTGGACCACGGCGTTCATGATACTGACTATGGAGGAGTTGCATTAGCAACGTTGTGCTGCTTGGAAGTGACCGAAAAAGTTGGGTAGGAGCAGGATCACCCAAGCAACAAGGTGAAGTCTTGAGAATACAAAAAGTTTTATGCATATGCCTCGAAGGGATCTGTGTCGTCGGCTTCCCTTTCGTGTTTAGGCCACCTCATCCCACTCCTATATTACTTCCAAGCCGCAAGAATGGCGCGGCGACCGATGAATCGTCATGGCAGAAGTTTTCCTGGGGATACTGTTATGATTGTAATATCCTCAAACACTTAACGAATATGGCTGTTATGAATCTGCCACCCAGAGCTTTATGTCAGGCTCTGACGAGCCATCGTCGTATAGCCGCCCTTATAGCTCAATTCCGACGCCACGACTCTTCAACGTCACTCAAAAAGCTCTAACTTTCATTTCTGAGCGTGTAATTGGTGTATTGCTCACTTTTGTCAACCTAATTTCTCCTTGAACGTTTTGTCCCGGGACACCCACTGCCAGCGGGCGTATATGTAGCCATTGTGTAGGACGTTCAAATTGTTCCTTCCGTTCCTTCTTCATCTCGCACCTTCCGTCCCCCCTTCACCTCGTACCTTCCTGATTGGTCACTACTAAAATTTATAGCTTGACGAAAAACCTGTGATCAGAACCCCGAACACTCTTTCTCCGCTATCCAACTCGGAGCTTGAAGTAGGGCCCGCCAAGTAACGACGCCAAAGCAGTCGGTCACTCAGCCCACTCTCCTACCAGACAAAAACTTTTGTGCAAAAGCAACAAGTTTTTCTCGCTTGTCCATAAGCCGTATGCTGAATCGCACATGCATCATCAATCGTAAGAAATATTGACGGCATACCATGCCGAGGGTAATCAAAAGTTGCTTGTCGTTGCTCGGTACCACCCGGCCCCTGTTCCCTGCTCTATTGTCCACCAGTCGTGTACATAGAGAGTGTATAGAATTACTCGAAGAAGAAAGAAGCAGGCAAGCAAATAATGGTTGTGTTGTCCGGTAGGTTAGCAAGTACCTGGCTAGGGAGTTGTCAAGCATGAAGTTAAGTCATATGTGGGGGTACATGCCCTTTACTGCGTATAAGAGCTACGTTGATATTGAGCCAGCAACCAATGAGACGATTGGAGAACCTTTCCCACAGTATTATATCGGACAAGATGAATCGTGATGCGAGATGTAATGCGTGGGAAGGAAACAAGGCAAGGGGGTAGTAGTTGTCATGTAAAGATTCGGAGGTAGAGGTACATGCCTCGCAAGAGCTATCCCGTAAACGTGCGACTCAAAGCCAGGTTCGTAGGGATAGGTATGGAAAAACAGGCCTTACCATGCCATTAAGAGGCGTCGCTTTACCTCCAATAGAGTAAAAAAAAATGAGAACAAGGAGATGATCGCATCACTTTTTGTTCTCCTCATCTGCGTCCTTTTATCACCCTGCGTCCCCCATGTCAGCAAGCGAGTTGTGTAGTGTGCCCCCCCAACAACGGTACGGATGTCTTCCGAAAGGACGAAGTAAGGTTACAGTCAAGCTAATTGCCAACCATCGAGAAGTTGGGGTTGGCTACAGCGTAGTGTCAATAGGGGAGAGAAAAGAATGCGGAAGGGAGGGGTCGAAGGTTTAGGGGGGTTTGGCATCGTATCATATCACATTGTATCGCATCTCGCTGGCGTCGCTCGCATCGTGTGTATTGGAATTTCGTTTCTAATGTAATGGTCACGTACGATACGTGATACGTGCTGTAACATGTCGTCGTATTGGTTTTTACAGCCGTTCCTAGACCATGTTTTATTTATGACATGACCGGAGCCGTGTTGGGTAGCTCATCGACGCAGCCCCATTCCCCATACATGTTTTGCCTGCCAACCAACTCCAACTAAGGGATGGAAAGGAGACCGGGCTGAACGAAGAAATGTGAACTGGGTAATTATAGGTGCCATCTAGAAGCGTCGTTTGAAGCTTCCAGACACGCGAGTGATGGATAATGAAGCGGAGGCAGTGGGACATGATCTGATGTCTTACTTTCCCACCTTCCCCCTAGCTGCATGTCTTACCCGAGACAAGCAGACAGGCCATGTCTTGCCATAATGTCTGGGGTAAATAAATCGCAGTAGATATATATGAATGTAGGAAAAGGAAAGAGGAGCATATAAGCGGGTTTGTGGAGGCTTTGGAGGAAAAAGTCGTACAATATGATGCGCCAGGTCGAACGATGGCACGAAGGCCTGGAACGTTTGCCTCGCCTTAAATCTCGCACCACAATACGGTAGAGTTGGCACCACTCATTCGAGTAGTGAACTACTAGCGTAGGAAGCTGGAGCTGAAAACTAGAGCTTAACCTTGTGACGGCGTCTGAGGTTGGGTCCTAGTACGCGTTCGGCCGGTTTCCCAAATAAAGTGTTCTGATTCATACACTGGCGACACCTTTTTCAGGTAGCGCCCTCCCACGAACTTTGAAACTGTAGACACTTGGCAAGATGACGATATCCAGGTACCCTTTGATCAAAAAGATTGGTAAAGGGATTGCCTACCAGCCTTTGGATCCCAGTGTCCGCGTACAGAAGGGGACTACCACCATTCATCCGCCTGTCCAGCTCTCCCGTCCGGCTGCACACTGGCGACTGGTAACGATCGGGTTCCCGAAATCTAATGATCCCGTTGGATGTAACGGGTATCATGCCCTGTGCATAAACTGTGGCGTTCGGTCTTTTTCCCTTGCTGCATCTCCATGGTCACTTTTTGCATGACCTTTTTTCTCTTCGCACTTTGCGTGTGGGGACGTGTGCTGATTCCTTCCTGTGCGCTGCGCAATGCCGTTGCTG